AACTTTATAACTCATTTGACAACCACTCCAGGCAAAATCCTAGAGTTCACATTGCCTAGGAAATGATTTAGGCTGTTTTTTTTTTTTTTTTACCGATTGAGCCTTTCAAGCCGACCCTTTTTATTATCATCGCTAGTTAACCCTTTGAGCCTTTTTAAATTTAGCCTTGTTTTTCTTTCTTTGAACTTAATTTTTACCCAACCCTGATTATGAGCCTAAAACACAATCCTACCTGTTTTATCTTTAAGAGACTTAATTGTAATTCAAGCTTATTACGAGTATTGGTGAGGAAGTGTAGTTCTGCTACAACCCAAGTTCATGCAAAGAAATATGTTGGGGGTTGTGGAGTGCTTGTAAGATCAATGGGGTTGTGTGTGTGTGTGTGTGTTCTACTTTCTTCTTATTATTATTGTGAAAAAAAAAATCCAAAAAACAAAAAAGAAAACTGAAAAAAAAAGGAAAAAAAGAAAGAAAAGAAAAGTGGGCATTGAAAAGCATTGAGAAGATGCGAGATTATGCAAATGGGTATACATTACTGTTGAAAAGAAAGAGCTCGATAAAGGTTGGGAAGCTACTGAGTGAAAAAGGGAAGTGTTTTTGTATGATAGTAATAAGAATGAAAGAAGATTAAGTCTCTTAATTTGATTTTTGTTAAATTCCTTTTTCGTTCTTTCATGAACTCATACCTTGGCCTAACGTTACAATCTTTACAAAGCCCTATTGATCCAAGGAAGTGTGAAGTTCTACATTAGTGGAGAGTGGTTGGAAAAGTGAGCCTATAGAGTTTGATTCCATGATTCACCTATAAGTCATATTGTCACGCCCGCAGCCCCAAACAGGAGTTCCTCGCGGTGCCCACACAGGTACGTGACTCACTAGGTACTGTCCTCCCCCTTAAGGGATTTCTTTCACCTCCCCCACCACTCGAACCCAAGACCAAGGGGCTATAGTCATTTGGGAATGCTTCCCAAATGACTATAGCCCCTTGGTCTTGGGTTCGAGTGGTGGGGGAGGTGAAAGAAATCCCTTAAGGGGGGGACAGTACCTAGTGAGTCACATACCTGTGTGGGCACCGCGAGGAACTCCTGTGTGGGGCCGCAGGCGTGACAATAAAAAGGCGTCTTTTTATTGTCACACCCGAGGATCCATACAGGAATGTCTCTCGGTGCCCACACAGGTACGTGACTCACAAAGTACTGTCCCCCCCCTTAAGGGATTTCTTTCGCCTCCCCCACCACTCGAACCCAAGACCAAGGGGCTATAGTCATTTGGGAAGCATGGTGAGTACCATCAGGCTAGCGCCTTTTTATTGTCATGCACGTGGCCCCACACAGGTATGTGACTCACTAGGTACTGTCCCCCCGGCTAGCGCCTTTTTATTGTCATGCACGTGGCCCCACACAGGTATGTGACTCACTAGGTTACCTAGGTCCCTCCCCCCCCCCCCCCCCTCTTAAGGGATTTCTTTCGCCTCCCCCACCACTCGCCCAGACCAAATGACTATAGCCCCTTGGTCTTGGGTTCGAGTGGTGGGGAGGCGAAAGAAATCCCTTAAGGGGGGGGACAGTCTTTGTGATTCACGTACTGTTGTGGGCACCGAGAGACATTCCTGTATGGATCCTCGGGTGTGACAATAAAAAGACGCCTTTTATTGTCACGCCTGCGGCCCCACACAGAGTTCCTCGCGGTGCCCACACAGGTACGTGACTCACTAGGTACTGTCCCCCCCTTAAGGGATTTCTTTCACCTCCCCCACCACTCGACCCAAGACCAAGGGGCTATAGTCATTTTGTGGACTGCCCCTGTGTGGGCACCGCGAGGAACTCCTGTGTGGGGCCGCAGGCGTGACAATAAAAAGGCGTCTTTTTATTGTCACACCCGAGGATCCATACAGGAATGTCTCTCGGTGCCCACACAGGTACGTGACTCACAAAGTACTGTCCCCCCCCTTAAGGGATTTCTTTCGCCTCCCCCACCACTCGAACCCAAGACCAAATGACTATAGCCCCTTGGCCTTGGTCTTGGGTTCGAGTGGTGGGGGAGGTGAAAGAAATCCCTTAAGGGGGGGGACAATACCTAGTGAGTCACATACCTGTGTGGGGCCACGGGCGTGACACATAACCCGAATACTGAGATCAAAATTTTGTTCATGAATGTTATGCATAAAACCATCTGGGTTTGTAGACTAATGTTTTGTGGTTGTATGGATATTCTATGGTCGATAACAAAAATGGAATTGACGTTTGCATTATTTGTGAGCTTAGGCGATTTTTAATTATTCTATTTGTTTTGTGTATATGCGATTTTTAAGACAATTTTATGAATTGATCCAAGAATTTTTGTTCTTTTTATGTTTATTTATATTTTTGGAGTCTAGGTTAGGTTTAGTGTGGATGTTTGTGGGTGTCATTGCTGGAAACCCTCACGAGACTACAACTCGTCCAATTAGGGCCACCTAGGGGTTTAAAAGCTTGTTACATACGCTAAATGCAATCGTGTCAATTTACGAAAATGATTTAGGATAGTTTAGATATAGGTTTTATTTGGTTGTTTTATTTTCAAGCTTAGAGACTTGTTTTATCGCTTAGTTTGCTAGGGACTAGCAAGAAGCTGGTTGGAGATTGTGATAAGAGCTTGAAAATACATATTTTGTTAGTGATTCAATTGGATTATTTATGGAAAAATGCGTTTTTATTGTAGAATTTTAGTTCATTATTTCATAAATACCTTTTATGGGATTACGGGGTGTATTTTGAGTATTTTTAGGTTAAAACCAATATTTGAATAAAGAAAATGATGTAGATGGAATTCGTGACAAGTAGGAACAAACAGTGCAAGAATCGGAATTGAATCAAGAAAGTTGTGATACGTGGATGTGAGATTTAAAACCTAGGAATTTGTCAAGATGAGCATGCCTAGATATTTTTATCATAACTTTGAGCTATAGAAATCGAAATTCAATTATACTTGCGATGTTTGAAAGCTTATTCAGAGAGCTACAAAGTTCATGTTGATGACTTCGCCAGATTATGAGGATTCCAAACTCATGGGATAGAAAGGACGATCGTCGCAACGACCGTTTCTATCACCGCAACGATGGATTGCAGGCCTGTTTGAGTTATTTTATTTTCCTAGTTCGAATCTGAATGGTTTAAGGCATTTAATTCTTTCCTAATAAACCTCCAAACCGTAACACTATAAATACGGGTCTGTAATTACTTTTTAGGGAGATTAGAGAAGGAGAAAGAGCAGCTACTATTTTAGAGATCAGAATTCTTGTAGTTTTTGTTCACCAATTAGAGAAGTTTTTCTATTTTTCTTTCTTGAACTCATATTTGTTAATACAATGGTTGTTTTTATTACTACAATTATAAATTAAATTTCTTTTCTAGGGCTAAAGATGTAGCCCAATTTATGAAGATATGTTAACTTTATTGTTGTTAATTTTAATTGAGCATTAATTCTAAGTTTTATTATTGTATGTAACATATTCAATTCTTAAGAGCCCAAGAGTTGAATGATTTTATGGGTTGGGTTGAGATCGAGAGATGAAACCTGATTAGTCTAAAGTAATAAAACTATAAATTGAGCGAACGCTAGAGATAGGTTACTGCGATCTGTGAGGCTCTGGTAAATTCTATAAAACTTAATGATCTCTTAGCTTCTAAATCCATTTTAGAGATATTTTGAGTTGTTGTTTAAGGGTTAATTCGCTAATTGTTTGAGAGAAAGTTAGTTAAATATTAAGGAGTTTGGCCTTTAGAATAAACTTAATTAGGTTAGCAATAATTGTCAATATATAGGATTATATTGGTGCAAAATTTATGCCCTAGGTTTAGTCTTATTGATCTTTTAACCAAAATATTAATACAATTCTGTTTTTGTCTACTTTTTAGTTTGTTTTATTTTTCATTAATTTATTCTCAAAATTCTATTTTATCAAATAGCAATAAAAAAGACTAGTTTAGTACTTGGTAGGTAGTTTTAGTAGGATTAAACACTCGTTTACTCGAGCTTTACTACTTGCTTGATTTCGTATACTTGCGAATAGTCTGTCAGTTATAAAAAATAAATTTTTGATACATATCATATTACCTCATTAATGATTAAAGTATTTAATTAAAAAGCTTTTAACAACATATAATTTATTAACTTGTGTGATATTTTGATATCATTTTTTTCAAAAATAATTTTTATATATGCACTAAAATGATTAATATCTAACTCGATCTAAGTTAATTATACAAATTCACATTAACCAAACTTAAATTGTGTGTCTATGTCTATTTAAGAAATATAATTGGTATGAAATTGATAATTAAAATTGATAATATTATCATTTATATGACACTTTTTTTATTATTATTATTATTATTATTATTATTATTATTATTATTATTATTATTATTATTATATAATCAATAAAAAGATATCTTTCAACAATAAAAATTAAATATAAAATATGGTTGAAGAGAAGGAATCATTAATTAGATGCAATAATTAGATAGCTTAAAAAATAATTAGATATTGTTGTATTATGAGTTTGTTACAATAATACATTATTTTTATTTATAATTTATTCATAATTTTCAATTATTGAATTTTTTTATCCAAAAATTATCAATAATAATTTATTTGTATGCATGAGTTTATAGAAATAATATGTCTGATACGTTAACAAATACCAATATAAAATGGTGCATTTTTATTATTTTGTATATTTATTATTCATATTAAAAAGGAATTATAAATTTATAATGTTATCTTTGTTCAAATATTGGATTAATTAACGAATTGGATATCAATTAATGCATAAAACAATTGATATATATAGAGAAACACTAAATACATAGACAAAAATTAATCAACAAAGTTGATCAGTTAACACAATGCAACACTTTCATTTATATGGTTTTAAACCATTTAATAATTTGTATTAATTATTATTATTCAATTCAATTAACATTAATCACTTCACTTAATTAATTAATTAATCCATCTTCAAACCACAAAATAATAATCAAACCAAATCATCAAACACCATATTACACGTACAATAACAACTATTTTTCATACCCCCAAAAGTTCATCTCCCCCCGCAAAGAAAGCTGATTAATTTGATGACTTGCATCTTCAAATCTCACCCCTTTCGTCGTGGAATCGTCAGAAACCAACCGGTCGAGCATTGTCCAATCGGTCAAGCCGCCTTGATCATCTCTCGCCGCCACAACCATATGATGAGGTGTGGGTTCACAAGTCCCAACTTCTAGCCCCGGCTCACAACTTTGGTGGTGATGGTACCTAAGGCTCTCATTGCCACTCTCGCCACCATCGCGACTAGGGTTTGACATGAGTTGCTTCACCATCGGCGAGTCCGAGGGGAGATTTGAGAAGTTTGGGACTAGGGTTTGGGACTGGAAAAGAGAGTATTGAGGAGGTGTGGGGATGGGGTAATGTAGGGCAAGTTCAGCTGGTTTGTTGAGTTCAAATGATTGTTGTTGATTGTGGTGTTGGCGAATTAGGTATTGGCTTTCTCTGTGGATGAAGCGAGAGTGATTAGGGTTTGATGAATTGTTGAGTTGATGATGATGGTGATGGTGATCAGAGGACGCTGAGTTCATGTTTGAGTTTTCGTTCCCGACTTTGAATAAGTTCTTCTTCTTGAACACCCTGCATACCACCCACCCATCTTCCTGCAAACCAATTATTTTTTTTAACGTATGTATGAAGAACATATACAAAGACATCTGAAAATATTAACAAAACTATTTTTCAATTTTAATACCTAAGTGATATTGAGAAGATTCTAATAATTGTTAATGGCAATAGCATGATAAAAATAATATTAGATATACGAAGTAACATGAATAAAGTAAATTAGTAAGCATATATTTTTAATTTATTGAAAAATATTAACTTAAATACTATCTAGAAGATTAATTATAATAACATCAGAGTACAAGGCTCAATCAATATAAGTTTAATTTTGTATTAGTTTTCGGAATATGATCAAACAGAAAATTCAATGTTTTATAGTAAAAAATTGTGAATAAAGAATGTCTCATCAAGGGAAAACTGCTCTCTATCTTTTCTTGCGCATAAAAATGTGATATATTAAATTGCTTTATTATTCAAATATACATGAAACTATTTATTTGGAATGGCTTTTTCTATCAATGGAATCTTCTACCCTCGTTACTTATATCTCGTAATATAAAATATTTTAATTAAGCAATTACTATATAAACCACGTGATTAATCATTTAATTAAATAATTAATTAGTTAAGAGAGACTACTTACACTGAGGTTTCCTTGGGCATCATCACCATCTTCAAGTCGATATTCATGCATGATCCAATCAGTTTTCTGGCCATGGGGAGCTCTTCCTCTGTAGAAAACTAGGGTTTTCCTCATTCCAATTTTCTTGTAGCTGTTTCTTATGCACTTGTCTCTCCCAGTTGCCTTCCAAAATCCCGCGTTCGTTGCTCGGTTCGTTCTCGATCCCGTCGGGTACTTCCTGTCCTTGTGACTGAAAAAATACCACTCGTTTTGTGGCGTGGATCCAATCTTGCATCTCTCTGAACATTCATACCAAGAAAAATATATTGAACCAAAATCCTTATTCATATGCAGTTTTTGAAGCATTTTGTTGAATAATATAATAAAATTTCTACCTTTAAAAATAGATTAAATTGATATTCTTCTAATTTTATAATAGAAGAATCGAAGAGAACAATAAATTGTAGTTATGCTTCTTAATTCTGAGGCATGGGATGGTTAATTAATTTAATGTTCAGGAGGTGTTTTAGCCCTTAAATTCTTCCTTAAATTAAGAGATCAAGATCCAAATCTTCGATCACTGCATTAAATTGAAGGTTGACTAATGAACAGAAGAAATTCAAACCCAAATCTAATTAAATTATTACTCTAGGTATAGAATTCCCGTGGAGAAGACGGATCTGTGAAGAGGTCAATGATTTCAACTGAATTGTAATTGTTTATTTGTAAGAGATAAACTATATACTAAATTAGAAAATAGAAATATTCCCAGACGTAACAATTTTTGACTTAAAAATTATTATAAAAAAAAAAATAAAACAAACTTCTGAATATCGAATAAGGTCAAGAATTGCACGAGTGGACAGCGGTCAATCTAAAAATAATTTGGAACTGCACAAATAATACAAAGTGAATCCATAATTTTAAATAAAATTTATATATATTATATATATATAATATTCTAGCAGATCAAAGCCATGTAAATTCTTTAATTTCCAGTTCAAATTAATGTTTCTTGTGCAAACAAATTTTCAAGTTGTTTATGTAGTTTTTAGTAAGATATATGCATTAGGAAGATTAATTTTATTGTATACACTTAAATATTGAAAATTAAATAGAGAGAAATTTCATATATATATATTTTTTTTTTACTCGTATATGTGTATATATTAATATGTATGTATGTATATATGCATATAAATAAATGAAAAATAAAAAGAAATCAAGAAAAAAAATCTTTAGATTTTTCATCATTTTGGTTTAACCATAGATCATTTGATCTTTTAAATTTCTAAAAATTCATTCACTTTAAAATTTTTAAATAAGTATAATTAAATTGAGAAACACACCAAAAAAACAAGATAACTAATCAAGCTTAATACTTCATTAATTTTGCAAATTATGTGATGAAATGATAGTCAGCATGTATGAAATTAAAATGAATATTAATCATACTAACCTTGCAACTCCCAAGGCTCCATCTTGTTCAAGTCCACTTCTCTAATCACCTCCATCTCAAACTTCTGAAACGACACCTTCTTCCTCAAGTAGTAATGCAGCAACTCTTCATCCGTCGGATGAAACCTGAACCCCGGTGGCACACCGCCGCTCGAAGTCGCCATCTCAAAACTCTTCACTACTTCAACAATAACAGTATCAAAACTTAGACCTAATTTTTTTCTATAGCTTCAAGTTATAATTATTCTTAAGCAAGCAATCAAGCTAGCTCTTGAAATAAATATGAAGAGAATAGAAAGAGAAAGAGAAGAGGGAGGGAGTTGTGTCAACGGGGGGAAGGAGGATTAAGAGGGGAAATTGAGAAGCGGGGGAGAAAGTTGACGGCCGGTGACTACGGCGGAGGGGATGGTTAAAGCTATCGTAAAAAGCAAGTATAAGGATGGTATTATTGTGCATTGTTTAGTGAATGGGAGATTTCTTTCTCTACATGCCTTTCGCGGAGCGTGGGAATTAAGACTCTTAATTAGATGTCTTTCTATCTAGAGACTCTTAATTATATGATTAAAATGTGTTAATGTATATTTGAGACAAAACTTTGGGAAGAGCATGCATGGTTTATTGTTTCAATGGGTTAACCCTAAGCATACTTAGCTAAAGTAGTGTTGAAAATTAAAAAATTTGCTATAATAATTGCGCTTAGTTGTCAAGTTTTTTATCTCTGTATTTTAGATTATTGTATGATAATTTTGTTTTAGAATTTTTTTCTAAGAAAAAGGAAAAAAAGACACCCCAAGATGATATATTTGCATGTAATAAGAGTAGTATATATATATATATAGAACAAATCTCTTCTTTAAAAAAGATTATGAAATTTTAAATATGAAAAAGGGCAATTACTCCTCAATTTTGAAAAAAAAAATTCAATAAATAATTTTCAATTATCTATTTTAAGTGGAAAGTTTTTGAAGTTTGTAGGTATACAAACTTACCGTCAATTTAATACTTCTTTTCCATATACATGTCATTTATCATTTGTATTTCCTTTTTTAAGAATACAGGTTTGAATAAAATTTAAACTCAAAAACTAATTCAAAGACGGAGAAAATTTAACCACATATATAATTATATATACATCATAATAATTTATCTAATTAGTAACGGAAGATAAATACAACTTTTAACAAAATTAAAATCGGATATTGCATATGCAGAGAAAGATACACTAAATATTTAATAGAAAAAGTGATAGATATATTAGTTTTTCTTTCTTACTTAAAAAAAAAAAAAAAGAGGATGATGAAGATGAAGAAATTGTATGTATTAATGGAAGTGTTCAACCACGCGCTGCAGATACACTAGGAGTGGCATTTGTAATGTGTAATTAATTTATAGTTTAATTGAAATATTAAAAGGAATAAATGATCCCGAGAAAATAAGAAATAATATTTAATTATGGGATATTTGATTGTTCTCAAAGCAAGTGCTTGGAAAAACAGCTACTAAATTTCTCGGGATTTTCACTTCCAATTGGACGGCTTAAATTTTATATGCTTTTATAATAAATATAAATTAATAAACCCAATTAGTTCATACTAATTTCGATAATCCAATTGGATTAGACTTTAATAAATTAGATTAAATTAGTTTTAATTTTAATTTAATTTATCACAACAGTTGGAGTCGCAGTCGCCATTGCTAGCTATTTCTTTGCTAAGGGTTGCACATGTGGGGGTGACGTTGAGAGCTTTCAGATTAATTTCCTTGATTCATTTACAAGCTTTCTTTCTGTTTAATTTGTTTTATATTAATGTTAATTATATTATCCTTTTATGATCAATTGAACTTTCTTAAGACATCGCATCGGTACCAATACTCGAACAATTGATGATATGTAATTTCATATTCATGATGTAAATATTCGTAATATAAAATACATAATATTGTAAAAATATTGAGGATTAAGATTTATATTTTTCAAATCCTCGATCATACAATATTTTATTAGAAAAAAAAAAAAAAGATAAAGATGACATTAAATCTCGAAGAACGCTGTGAGTTTTATCTTTCTAGTTTCTAGAAGAAAAAACCTAATACATAAGAGCTAAGAAGTTAGGATTAGGAAGCAATGAAATTGGAAAATGTGTGTTAAGTAATGACTAATAAGATTGATGAAATATATTATAATGTTATAACGTGATATTGGTAAAGATACTAAGGGTAAGTAGTATTTGAAATATATACTTACAATATATATTAAATAATAGAATAAAACTATATTTATTGTACATTTATTTTTATTATTTTTCAAGAATATCGACGATGTGAATTATTATATTGAAGAAAAGAAAAATAAGATGTAATACAGAGAAGCCAAAAAAAGAAAAAGATGGCAATATATTGGGTTAGAAAGCAAAGAAATTGCATTATATATTAAGTAATAACTAACCCGTGAGTAGCCTAGTTGGTTAGGACGAATTGAGAATTGTGTGGATAGACACACAGTTTTTGATTCGATTCCTCATCTAAGAGTTCGAGATTTAAGTGAGAAGTTGTGGTGGTAGATTGCTGCGTTGTCTCCCGCTAGGATCAGTTAAGGTGCGTGTATAACAATCTCCCCCAATGATCAGTATCAGGTATAATAGTCTCCCCCGAAGATCAATATCAATAGAGGTGCTCAAGGTGCACATAATTAAGCTGTTATGCGAATAATGTTCAAATCATCTTTAGAGACCATGCGAAATTCCAACTTACCGTTTTGATTAATGTTATTCTTTCTCAATGATATAATGTTTGAAATACTTTTTTTTTATTTTATTATAAAAAAAATTGCCAAAAATGGGATGCCATTCAACCCATTAATTATACGTATACTCTAGGATATCACCCGAAAAAAAAAAAAAGAAAAAAAAATTTGAGAAGGGTAACATTTCTCACTGTTATCATAAAAGAAAACTTGTAATATAAAATCAATTTATTATTATGAATGTCAGCAGCAATCCGGTATCGAAAAAGATCACAAATCTATTGGTTTGAAATTATGATAAATAGTAATTAATGAATGTGTGCTTAATATCATATAATTAAATTAAAAGATCTTTGAATGAAGCCGTAGTTGAGCTGATATTTTGGTACACTATATACTAAAATATTATACATATGACCAATGAGAAATGAATACTTAATTAGCATGTACTCCACATGGCAATCTTCATCTAATTAAATCCAGTTCATGAACAGTAACACACTATATATTATTATTTTATCTTAATTTTTTTTCATTATCCATCTTTTAGATGTGTAAACACTTCAGTTTTATTGGATATGATTTATACTTTTCTTAGCTTGGACGAATTATCGGCTTACGTTGAATCATTCAAGGGTCTTGCTCATTCACGGTGAGCTCGATTAGTAATTAGGTTTAAAATTAATTTGCTAATATTTGGGTTTAGGGCAGGTTAGATCGGGTAAGCCCAAATGGAATTAGATGTTTTATTATGTGCATATTGTAACAGTGAGAAGACTAGAGTGAAAAATAGAGAGCAAAAGTAAATTGTCGTCATTTATATTGTATTTGTTACAGCTTTTTGATACTCAATAAAAAATTATATGCTTGAATGTTGGACGTAATTCTTTTATTGGATCAAATCAAAGTAAATCATATGTTCTCTTTACTTTTTTGTTTTCTTTCTTGTGTGTTTTTAGTTGTGGTTTCAACAGGTTTGTATTATGTTTATCATGATATTTATAATATTCAAGATTTTTTCAAGTTAAAACTTGTAATATGTTTACGAAAATTCTATAGTTTATTATATTACTATATTAATTGAAGAGTTATATATATCAACATTTATTATATTACTTCGTCAATTATATTAATTACCTTAAATATTTATAAGAGGTAACTCAAATGATCAAATCTGTAGTTTGATCCCACATAATATACGATTTTAATCGGCTTACGGGCAACCTTCTTTGAAGATTAAGATTTTAAGGTTCAACAAGTGAATTCAGACTCACAAAACAAATTTAGAAAATTTTTGGATTAAAAAAAAGTTACCCGTAAATAACTTCCTATCAATACTTGGGAGTTACGTAGTATTTGCTAATACTTTCTCCGTTTTATATTAATTGACATTTTATAGTATTTTTTTGCCAAAATAAAAGTCGTTTGACTACTTAAGCCTCTTTCTCTTTCTCGACGAATTCCCCTGTCCTCTCTATTCCACTTCTTCTCTACCCTTATCTCCTCTCTCTTTCTCCATCTCTGCCCCTTATCTCCTCTCTCTCTTTCTTTTTCAAATGCAGGTGAAGAGCAATCGAAGAATCAAAATTTTCCCATGGTAATTTCAGTAAAAGCAATGCTACTGAAGAATGCACACCAAATTCATGCACCGAATGGCGTTACGTCATCTTGTTTTCTTAAAAAAAAAAATTTATAATTAATTGGCAGTCATGATGATGTCACATCATTCGATGTGCATTATTTGATAACTGTCTTATTTTTCTTTCAGTGAAAGAGTCAGTATAAAGAGGTAGAATTTTGTTTTCTTAAAAATTATGCAGGCCTTAAAACGTCACTTAATATGAATAGGAGGGAGTATATTTTAGCTCGTTTTATTTAATTATTTCCTTCTGTCATTGGGATGAGAACAAATTATGGGGAAAATGAAAGAAGACTAACGAGTTTAGTATATAATATGAGTTGAGTGATAAAATTGTGATCATTCATAGGCTCTACTAATACGAGGTTTAATATAGTATCAAATTACGTGATGATGTTTGTACTTTTGTTCATCTATATTAGGGTTAGTCTAACAACTTAATCTTATAACATTTTTTTTATAATTTTTAATGTGACAGTTTATACTAGTTTATAAATGAGTCTTGTCTATTTGTATAAATCTCGTTTACTTATTTTATGAATTGATCAATGATGAGATATCACGTCAAAGATTGTGAGAGAAAATTATAAATCTAACATTATTGTTAATGTTATTAGTGAATTTCTTTCTCATCCGCAAATTAAAGCATAATATATAGAATTAAAACTAAAATATTATATCTCTTTATGTATAATATTTATGGATTCTTAAACTCAAATTGCGAAGATTCAATCGTTTAGAAAGATGCATGGAACTAATATTGGGATTAGAAATCGGGGGTTCATGATTTTGACTTAGAAAGGAAAATTAATTAAATATGTTTGAAAGTTGAATGGTCAAAACAAAAATTGTGCTAATTTTGGTAATATTTTATGTTGGAAGCCAACTGTTCACAATAATTGGTAACGTAAACCGGCTTTCTAAGC